CACACACACACACACACACACACACACACACACACACACACACACACTCTATTATACACACACACTTAAACAGCTCTCATTTTAGGGCATGACTTGAACATTTCACAAACACAATCGAGCTCACGCCGTACTCAGAGAACGTCTGATTTCCCCAAGGCACATGAGACAAAGGAGCGCTGCAGTGCAGACAGAGTGTGTGTGTGTGTGTGTGTGTGTGTGTGTGTGTGTGTGTGTGTGTGTGTGTGTTGAGGTATTAAATCAATACTTTTGTGACTGCTGATAGATAATTGATCTCATCAGTGGGCCCGTTCATGCACACTCACAATCCTCCAGGAAGGCAGAGAACACTGAGGCGTAGGCGGCAGAGGAAGTCAGCAGAGGGCGAGGATGGAAGTAGTAAGTAGGGAGGGGGGGGATGAAGAGAGGCAGGTGCACAGTCAGAGGGAAGACATGAGAGAAAATGAGAGAGGAGATGAATAGAGGCAGAAAGGAAGAAAAAGAGAGGAGGCAGAAAATGCAGATCCAGAGTAATCAAGGAAGCGGTTATCGGATATATTTTTCTTCATCTACTTCTTCTATAGGCAACCTGAACTAGACAGGGTTTGTCTGCTCCAGCTTAAGATGCAAATGTTGCCTGGCTAATACGCTTACTTGCACTTTGTGGGGTTATTATACAGGATATGTAGGGAAGTACTTGTTCGAGGATGGAGCATATGTATGGGAGCTTGTTGCTATATCAGGGTTTAGGGTCGAAATATCAGCTCTCAAGTTCACACTCCAGCAACATCAGCCAAACATTTGACAAGTCATTCCTCATCATGAAGTCATCTCCACTCGTACTGTTTGGGAACACAAATATTAAAGTATAAATCTAACAACTGTGTCACATGACCAAGTGCGTTCTGTAGCTTTTATGGATGTTTGAACAAATAACATTTTTATGAAACAAAAGTTAAGAGAACGCCTTTGTATACAGATACAAGTGAAAGATTCAAGCAAACCGTGTGACAGCACACTTATAAAAATGTGTTTTTAAGAGGGATTTAACAGAGGTTCAGGATCTTGCCAGTCTAATCTCTTCAGGGAGGTCTATTAAAAGTCTGCCAGCAACAGTTGTCATTTTCACCGAGCGAAATCCACAGAGGCCTTCTTTTGTTTATGTCTGTGTGAAAACGAAGGCCCAATGTTTTCAAAAATAATGGTGACTTTAGACTGATAAATCTGTCAGTTATAGCAACAGTAATAGCAGGTCCAGTTAGCGCGGTTTTACAGGAGAGTTATCATTAAAAGGTTGCACCGATATCTAAACAGAGTCTGAGAGCTGTATGGACATGAATGTCTCAGTGTGTCACATAGGTCATCCGATGACTCAGACAGACGGTTAAAAATACTACAGCTGCTGCATTCAGAGAAGGAAGTGAAA